GTACTCGTTGCAAGGGCTTTTCCTGGATCTGGCAGGGAAATGCCTATAATTACCCCTAATGTACTCCTGGAGCAAAGATACGCACATTAAGAGCCAAAATAGAAGGTTAACTACAAACTGTGTAGTAATGCAATTACCTCCCAATTACCCTTTCCAACACTTAGGGAATGAATAGGAGACATTAAGCCCAACTCTGCAGGAGAGTCTCTGGTTTTTGCCAATGGAGTGGAGGTTGGAAGGGGCAGAAGATGGAACAACAATCAGTGGGTGCTGGTGGGGATGAACGTAGGGCGATAGTGACATCTGATGCAATTATCCCTATGGGTATCAAATCACCTTTTTTTCTAGTTTAGGTTTTGTTTTTTCATTGTTGCTTTGCTTTGTCAGGGTATCACTTCTGTAGCCCATGCTGTTCTCAGGCTTGTAATAATCCTCCTGCCTCTGCCTTTCAAGTGCTAGGATAACAGACGTGAGCCACTCTGCCCTATGATGTTGGGCTTTGTTCACATTCTTCCACTCATGGCCTGGAGTGGAACAAGCATGGGGAGCTGAGTTCAATGCCCAGAACTCACATAGAGCCTGATATGGTGGTGCACATGTCAACAACACCAGCACTCCTGCTTTGAGGTGGGAGGCAGAGACAAAATCCCCAGAAGCTTGTACGCCAACTAGTCCAGTGTACAGAACAGCTGACTGTAAATAGACTGTTTCAAACAAGGTGAAAAGCAAGGACTAATGCCTGAGATTATCTTCTGATCTCCAGTACAATTCATGGTACATGCAGACTCACATTCACACACACACACTTATCATCATCATCATTATGGCATATGCACACTCACATTCACACACACACTTTATTATATTATCATCATCATTATGGCATTTGCACACTCTCATTCACACATACACACACACACACACACATTTTATTATATTATCATCATCATCATTAACACCATCATCATCATAGTACTACCCCAACAGGTCAGGAAGTAAAGGTGCTTGCTGCCAAGACTGAAACTTAATTTAGATCCCCAGGTCTCACAAGGTGAAGGGAAGAAACCAACTTCTCCAGGTTGTCCTCTGACTCCCACATACATGCTGTGACACATGTGTGCCCACACACATATGCACATGCAGACAATAAATAAATGTTTTAAAAATCCTTCAAATTGTATTCTACTAAAGGTGGACTATGTTAGCAGATGTCACAGACCTGTGTAAGGCTCCACTTAAGTACTGACCTAACACAAAATTTTTCCCCTAAAAGCCTATATCAAAAAAGTAAGTTAAAACTTTAGAGTGAGCATCTCATCTAACATTAGGCAGTCCCCTGTGGGTCTGGGATGAGTTCAGAAGGTGAATTTCCTGTCCATGACAGTGGTATGAGACTCCCAGAGTTGATGTTAGGAAACATCTATTCATCGCAGGTACAGAGGACACAGACAGGCCAAAATAAAATCCTGTGCTCTCCTAGTGTAATCAACTGATGGGTTTATTGAGGTTCCTTACAATGAGCATGGGCCAGGGTTAACCACCATTCTATTTCCCAAGTGCTCACCCAACTCAATACCATCCCAAGTTAACCAATACAGATATAGAGGATGATAGATTCTGAGGTCCCTTTGGGGCCAGTACCACAGCCATTCCAATTCCTGCTTCCCAAGATCCTCTTAACGAGTTGAAATCAGGCCTCAGTGGCAGGAACACTGCAGAGGACAGGAGTTCAGTTTGTATCACCCATGTGTGGTGGCTCACAACTGCCTGTATCTCCAGCGCTTCTTCTGCCTTCTACTGGCACATGCATGTATGTGTGCATACAGAAACACACATATAAACACATTTTTACAAGCATATATTTCATAAGCACATAATTACAAAGAAATCCCTTTTTAAGAACTAACCAGCTGAAATCCCAGATTCCTTGCAATACACAGAAATGATGGCCACCAAACATGAGACAAGAAGATGGTTATCCTTGTTAAGGGATGGATTCTACAACTGGAAGAGAAACTTCACCATCAGGGCCTGTGAAGGTGTGAAGAGAAATTTAATCCAAATAGGTCTTAACTAACAAAGAATGGAGGCAGCCGAGCAACCATATACCCACTCCAAATGGAAAGATGCCCAGGTTCCATCAACTGTTTTTCCAAATGCCCCGGGATACTCTGGCTGCTGCTTATAACAAATCCAAACATGATCCCACACCACACACACACACACACACACACACACACACACACACACACACAGCCCTTTTATAAGGCCAGTGGCCCCATTTTGTTTGGCGTAATTTATTACTCTGTACATATCAATACTACAATTGTCAGCCCCGCAGACATTTTCCATTTTAATAGTTCGCATGAGGTACCACATTATTGATCCTACACCACTAAATAAAAAACTCGTTTGTCAGGGGAACACAAAATGGCTTTTAATGGACACAGCCAAACACCTGCTACTAGTTAGAGAAAAAAAATAACCATCCCACCACAGGGATATTTGGAAATGGCTTTGCTGTGTGACTTTCCCTTGGGGATGCATGAAGAACAGTCTATTTATTCCAGATAGGACATGCAAACCAGAGAAAAGGCTCCACCCAAG